TTAATTTTTTTAAATAACTTTTTTTAATTATATTTTTTATTGAATTATTACTTTTTTCATCATTCAGCACAGTTAATCAGATGTACAATCAAACAGCATGATTTCTTTCCCAGTCAGAAAACTTTCCCAGACAGCACTTTACCAGACAGCACTTTCCCAGACAGAAACTATCAAACGGGACCTTACTTGAGCAACAATAACAAATTATTGCAATATTTTAAAGAGCTTTATTATTTGTGTGTATTAGAATTTATTTAACCTCAAAGGAATATTATTGCATGCAACTTAAAGAGTTTTATTATGAAATACATTTTTTCCCAAGTCCCATATCTAATAGAGTCGTGTGTAGCTAGCTAGCTCAACTGCAACCAGTTGGGAATGAGATAGCAAGTCCAGATTTCATTTGAAACTCTACTCCAATTCCTAAGTCTCATGTAGTCATGTAATGTTAACTAACAGAAGCAACCCAATGACAATATCAATATGGCAGATTGAACTCTTGCAACAAGTCTTAAAAAAACATTAATTAAATTATGAACATACATAGATACATAATAACATTTACAACAATTTTGGATAGCTGGCTGGGAAAAACAAAGGGAAAGTTCACTAACAAATCATGATGATGTGATGGGATGCCAATTTTGACAACTTCACTTACTATGTGAGTGAGTCGACAGTCAGTCATCATCAAAATCAAAATCAAGTGTAGGAACTAAAAAGTGGATCGATGACCAACATTTTATCTATTCCACCCATCATCATCATCATCATCATCATCATGTCATGTGATTTCCATTAACAGCTACTTGACTTGTAGTACATCTGCAACAAAAAAGAAGGCAACATCACGTCACATCACATCATTCCGGGAAACTAATGGGCCCAGTTTTTTAAATAGGACAGAACAAAACAGGCTGTATTGCATTTGTGCAAAAGACGTGAATGCCCTCCACATCCACGTCAGCAAAAATAACCCTAGATAGCTTGTTGAGTCCCGTCCCGTTAAAACAAAATGCAAAAGATATATGAGAGAGAGAGAGAGAGAGAGATATTAAAAATTTACAGACAAGACAGGATATACATACAGGAAACATGTGCAGCTGATGACTCCACTTTCATATTCATCTGCCATCTGTGATCTATCTATCTATCTGACAACAACAACAAACATTTTTTTTTCTTTTTCTTTCGGTGTGTCTTTGAACTGGAGCTGGAGGAGATCATGCTTATAAATTAGGATTTGTATGTGGATGTGGATCCTCTTTCAACCCTTTACTCAGTAAATCATAGTTGATCGATGCCAGTTGCGAAAGATTCTGAACCAAACACAACAAACCATCTTCATGTTAATTATTAACATCAACATACAATGAAAGCAATATATATATATATATATATATATAT